CCAGTCCTGTTCTCTCCCAGCAGGTGTGGCTACAGAGAGGGACAAGCGGGATGTCTGAGCGGGTGATGACAGCTGTTCTGAGCCCCACCTCCCAACAAGTGCCTTGGTAGGGAAGAGCCAGGAAGCACAGTGAGCACAGCACGGAGAGCGGGCTCGCCTCCATTTCTTCATCCCCTGCCTCCTCCACTCAGAATGGCAGAGAACATCCAGTTTGGCTCCCTCCTCCTCCTCCCACTCACTCTCCTCTCTGCCCACCTCTCACCTGGCCCCCCGACTCCCTTCCTTCCTTCCCAGCTGCCTCGTTAATCCCCCCTCCAGTCCTTCCTCTCTGATCGCTTGCTCTCTCCTCCGCTTGTCTCCTGCCCCTGCCAGCCCACTCATGTTCCATCCTCGTCCTCGCCCACCCTGCCTCCGGAATCCTGAAGTGTCTCGTTCATTCTCTTGGCTTGGATGCTCTCACCTCCAGCTCCTTCCAATGCCCCTGCCCCGCTGTCTTCCCCATGCTCCAGTCTCCCAGCTCTGCACAAGGTCGCCAACAGCCTTCTCCCAGCTAAAAGGCTCTGCTTGGCCACTCTGCTGACTTTTTAGGCAGGGAAGCCCTCTACCCCCTCACCCCCTTAGCCTTCTCCTCTCTTGGCTTTCACCGCTCAGCTCTCCATGCACCTTGCTGATCCTCCATCAGCATCTCTTCTCATGATCTTTAACTTCCTCATCTGGATGGTGGCAATCCCAAAGATCCCATACTCTGCTCTCTCATTCTCATCTTCTTGGTGACCTTCACTGTGTCTGTGGTTTCAACGATCATCTCTACAACCGTGGTTCTTGGTCCCAAGTCTCTGTCTCTACCTGGCTCTGATCTCAGATCTTTAGCCCCCTCTCTGATGTTTCCTCCTATCACCCCAACCTCAATATTGTCACAAGGGAATCCTTTCCCTGCTGCCACTCTACTGTCCTGCCTCTCACCAACCCTGTTGCATGGAGAACTTTTTCTTCCTTCTCCCCCAATGTCCAGATAATATCCCTGTAGAACATCCTCATCTACCTTTTCCTCTTGTCCATGCATTGGTTATCACCTGCCTTTATTACAGCAACCTTCTTCCTTCTGTCCTACTAACTCCACCCCGAACTCTGCACCAACGGCTGCCACACCTGAAATCACCTTGCTCTCCTAGGGTATGTCTACACTACCCCCCTAGTTCGAACTAGGGGGGTAATGTATGCATACCGAACTTGCTAATGAAGCCCGGGAAATTCAAATCCCGGGCTTCATTAGCAAGTTCGGTATGCATACATTACCCCCCTAGTTCGAACTAGGGGGGTAATGTATGCATACCGAACTTGCTAATGAAGCCCGGGAAATTCAAATCCCGGGCTTCATTAGCAAGTTCGGTATGCATACATTACCCCCCTAGTTCGAACTAGGGGGGTAATGTATGCATACCGAACTTGCTAATGAAGCCCGGGATTTGAATTTCCCGGGCTTCATTAGCATAAAGCCGGCTCCGCCATTTTTAAAAGCCGGCTTGTTCGAACCCCGTGCCGCGCGGCTACACGCGGCACGGGCTAGATAGTTCGAACTATGTAGCCATTCCGATCTATCTGTACACCTCGGCTACGTCTACATTGGCCCCTTTTCCGGAAGGGGCATGTTAATTTCACGAGTCGTAATAGGGAAATCCGCGGGGGATTTAAATATCCCCCGCGGCATTTAAATAAAAATGTCCGCCGCTTCGAAGTAGGAATAAGATCCTCCGGAAAAGGGCGCTTTTTCCGGAGGATCGGGGCCAGTGTAGACGCTCTTTTCCGGCTTTTCTAAAAGCCGGGAAAAAGCGGCGGACATTTTTATTTAAATGCCGCGGGGGATATTTAAATCCCCCGCGGATTTCCCTATTACGACTCGTGAAATTAACATGCCCCTTCCGGAAAAGGGGCCAATGTAGACGTAGCCGAGGTGTACAGATAGATCGGAATGGCTACATAGTTCGAACTATCTAGCCCGTGCCGCGTGTAGCCGCGCGGCACGGGGTTCGAACAAGCCGGCTTTTAAAAATGGCGGAGCCGGCTTTATGCTAATGAAGCCCGGGGAATTCAAATCCCGGGCTTCATTAGCAAGTTCGGTATGCATACATTACCCCCCTAGTTCGAACTAGGGGGGTAGTGTAGACATACCCCTATTGTTCTATCTGCCACATCCCTCTTTTGTCTTCTCCTATTGTCTCCCTGTCATCTACAGTAACAAATTCAAGCACCTTGTTCTGCTCTGAAAGATCCAACGTACCTCTGCACTCCGCTAAATCTCTAGCTCTCCTCTCACTCCCTGCACTGATCTCGGTTCCCTCACTTGACTGTCCCTTCTGCATGCTGCTCTCCTCTGAACCTTTTCTTGTGCCTCTATTCTGGTGTTCCGATCACCTTTCATTCCTTCTTCCCAACCCACCTCTTCAATCCACCCCACCTCTTTCCCCCCGATCCTCACCTCTTCCCTCACTCAGGGAGACTCTGTCTCAGGGAAATGTCCCTATTCAGGACAGCTCTTACGCCTCTCCTTACGTGCTTTCCTGCATTTGTTCTCCTGGATTTGCCTTGTATTAATTAGTGTGGGAGCTTGTCAGGACAGGAAACATGTCTTTATTAGGGTTTGCAAAGTAGCATGGAAATTTGTAACACTGCATACAGTCCATCCGTGTCCATAGTCATTTGTTATCTGTCTGTCCATCCGTCCATCCATCTAACCTGTTTTATCTGCCTCCCAGTCAATTGACAGACAGACAGACACACACCCGAGAATGAAAAATGCCATCTAAGTGGTACCACGGTAATGCCAAAGGAAGCATGCCCATGTAGCCTGCCGTTTTGGAGTCTAATTTTGATGCCGCTAAAGTTCATGGCAAAGCTCACGGTGTGGGATTGGACTCTTAAGACACAGACCAATTTGGGGGTACAAATGCCTCTTTGAGCTGAAATTTCTCAGGCTTGTTCTCAGAAAAACAGAACGATTTTCTTGCAAATTCTGGTGAGTCTGTTTGGCTTATTGTGTGTTAACTGAGCAGAGATGTAGCAAAGGGGTGTGGCCTTCCTTAGAGAGTGACAGTGTGGAAGGGCCTGGTGCCCTCTGGTGGCAGGAACCAGAAAAGCCTCTTCCCGCCATGCTGGAGGTGGAAGGGCGGAGCCTCCACAGGAACAGGAAGTATAAGAGGCAGGCCATGCGGCTCAGTTGGGGCCCAGCCACTGGAGGTGGCAGACGCCTCTCAGCCGTGCTCAGGCTGGACACTACCTCCAGCCCTGGGAAAATGGCTGGCTGGCTGTAGTGAGGGACCATGACCATGTGGAAGTGGACACCCACGAAGCCGAGGAGTTGCTGGGACTATCACTCACCAATTACCCTGAATCCCTCTCTGGCCTACCCCGCTACGGGAGAACTCGTGGTTTTCACACATTGCCAGATATTCAGGTGCTTTTATGTCCTGGGGCAAATCCTCAGGGCTGAATTCTGAGCCTTCAGATTTGTTGTGGACTTAGTCCTCTGTCACCAAATCTCTTTGACACATCTGAAGGAATGAATTCAGCAGATAAGCAAGTTACAGGTGTTTTCAAAACAGCATCATACACAGATGCACTCCACGAGCTTCTGCTCTGGGCCCCTAAGGCTCCACCCTCCTTCTCTGTGCAGGTAACCTGCATTGCTGAACCACAGAAAGGCAACCGGGCAGAGAGGAAGGGACTTGACATGCAGGGGTGGGGAGTGATGGGGGATGTCTCCCTTCTCTGTTATGTCCCAAGGAGCACAGCTGAGCCTGCGGGACCAGGCAGACGAGATGCACCAGGAAAAGGATAAGCCAAGTTTACTTCTGCCCTTTAGAGAGAGTAGCAGGCTCTGATTTGCGTTTCAGAGACTTGCTATTTTCAAAGCGTCTACAATCCCCCTCTTGGGACAGCGCTGCCTCTGACGAGGGGTGGCTGGAAATGCCACTTCACCTTTCAAGCATCACACCAGATGCATTGTGGTATCTTCCCATTTGACCCTCTTGGCAGAACACCAACGGTGCAATGTGTATTGATTCTGCTGTGCAATCTTGGTCACTCTTTTAGTCACTGTGTTCTCCTTTTCTTTTCCAAACAATTCCACCACTCCCCTCCCCAAAGGAAGAGTGTAGAGTGAAAAGGGACCTACCCAATGCCACCCGGGCAGCAGAGGCATCGTAATTGATCCAGAAGGAGACCCAGGACAGGATGGTGATGAGGATGGAAGGCATGTACGTCTGGAGGATGAAGTAACCGATGTTCCTCTTGATCCGAAAACTCAGGGATAAGCGGAGATAAGAGCCTGCCAATCAGATACCAAAAGGAGGTGTCATTTACAGAAGGCAGGGACCAAGAACGGGAATGGAAATCATCTGGGAATCCTTTGGAAGCAAGGCTGTGTAGAGCCAGGGAAGGGAATCGCACAGTCTGCTTCTGCACAGACGGCACAGTGATGGTGCCTGGTCATTTGGGCAAATGCCTTGGATCTATAACCGTGAGCAGTCGGGGAAGACAGAGGATCTCTTCTGTAGCCACCATGTGCTTGCTTACTTGCTCACCCAAGTAAGGTCCCTGTGCAGCCTCCCCCCTCAGATAAACTCCCAGTTTCGTGTGCAAGCTCACCCATAAAATGCAAATTGGGCAAATGCAAATAGCTAATCATATATATAGTAGCCCAGTGTCTGAGTCTGTAACGCTGAAATGCTGGCTGTTCCCTCTGGGGGGCACTGTTGCCTGAAATGCTGGCTGTTCCCTCTGGGGGGCACTGTTGCCTGAAATGCTGGCTGTTCCCTCTGGGGGGCACTGTTGCCTGAAATGCTGGCTGTTCCCTCTGGGGGGCACTGTTGCCTGAAATGCTGGCTGTTCCCTCTGGGGGGCACTGTTGCCTGAAATGCTGGCTGTTCCCTCTGGGGGGCGCTGTTGCCTGAAATGCTGGCTGTTCCCTCTGGGGGGTGCTGTTTCTGAAATGCTGGCTGTTCCCTCTGGGGGGTGCTGTTTCTGAAATGCTGGATGTTCCCTCCGAGTGGCCCGTGCTGCATGGGGAGTGCGGGGCCCAAACCTCCTCCTGCTCCCACGTGGCGGCCTGGCTGAGCGGCGCAGAAGTCAGCCACGCACCACGGCAGGAGGGGAAGGTGGGCGGGGCGGTGATGTGCGGTGTGACAGCGGCTCCAGGCCCCACCCCCTGGCCATGAATGTCACCACCCTGCCCCCCTTTGCCTCCCGCCGTGGCGCTCAGCTGACTTCTGCGCTGCTCAGCCGGGCCACCGCGTGGGAGCAAGTGGCACAAGCGACCGTTTGGGCTCCGCGCTCTCCATGCAGCACGGGGAGCTTGCAGCCCAAAAGGCTATTTGGACTCTGCGGTCCCCCGAGTGAGAGGCAAGAGGCGGAGGAGAGCTGGAGGAGGGGAGAGGCAGTCAGAGGAGGAGAGAGAGAGAGAGAGAGGGAGACGGAGATGGAACGAGAGACCGCAGGCTCAGGAGAGAAGACCGACGTGGAGGACAGACCTGAAAATCCCGTCTTATGACGGGTTAATTGGCTATTTACAAATAAGAACATAAGAACTGCCAGACTGGGTCAGACCAAAGGTCCATCCAGCCCAGTGTCCTGTCTGCCCACAGTGGCCAATACCAGATGCCCCAGAGGGAGGGAACACAACAGGTAATCCTCACATGATCCCTCCCCTGTCATTCACCACCAGAGAAACAGAGGCCAGGGACACCTTTCCTACCCATCCTGGCTAATAGCCATTGACGGACCGAACCTCCATGAATCTATCTAGCTCTTTTTTGAACCCTGTTAAAGTTCTAGCCTTCACTACATCCTGTGGCAAGGAGTTCCACAGGTTGACTGTGCGCTGAGTGAAGAAAAACTTCCTTTTGTTTTTTTAAACCTGTTGCCCGTTAATTTCATTTGGTGGCCCCTAGTGCTTATATTATGGGAACAAGTCAATAAAAACTTATTCACTTTTTCCACACCAGTCATGATTTTATAGACCTCTATCATATTCCCCCCTTAGTCTCCTCTTTTCTATCTGTTGCTCTATAAATCTATAGTTGTTTGTTTAAACTTGTGGCCACTGCCTGCCTCACCACAACTGGATTCCACTGAGGACTCACCTTCCCTTTGCTATGAAGCTGAAAATCCAGGGGGATACCCTGCCTCACCAGCTGCCTAAAGAGCTGAAGAAGGGGATGATGTGTTATCACAAAGGGACCCTCAAGGCCGGCAACCCACTTACTGGGCACGGGGGGGAGAGGTAGTCTGGTGTAATGGTTAGGGCACTATACTGCGAGGAAAGAGACCTGGAGTCTGTTCCTAGCTCTCCTTTGTGTGTAGCCTATTGTAGTTTTTATTGGCACTTCAAGAGCCACTGGGTAATCACGTGGGAAGAGTGATTAGGGAACCTACCAATGAGGCCCTGTTTGAGGGAAGTCAACATTTTGGCCTAGCTATCTCGAGGGTATTGGCAAAACAAGGCACCATTGTTCACCTCTTGTGGTCTGCGGGCAGGGATCTGACAAAGCAGGGCTGGTAGGAACGGAAGAGAGACCAACTTTCCAAAGGGACAGTACAGGATTAGAACCCAGGAGCCTTTAATTGGTTCCCAAAGCCCTTTGTCCAGAGCCCCACCTGTGGTGAAGACCACTTCTCTGGTGACCAGTCTCTGCTCAATGATGGTGAACTGGGGCAGCTCCAGCATCTCCATCCCCGTGACGGCTGAGTTGTTTCCTTGCCAGAAGAAGACAATGTCGTCCACTGTGTAGCCATCTGTGGGTGGGGAAGCACAGTACAGCCAGGCTTAACAAGACCTGGCAACCAGCACCTCCGTGTCCACAAAGACTTTTCCCAGGGGACCCAGATGGAGTCCATTTATCAGTGCCTAGCCCACCCCCCCTGATGCATCTTTGATCCTTAGCCCAACTTGCACAACAGCTGCCTGAAGACAGGAATACATGGCCAATGCTCCTCATGAAGACTAAAAAGTGGCAGGTGATGGTGGGAGCTGACCCCCAAACCTATCACATGATCCTTGGTTTCCTTAGAAACATCAGAACCCTCTGTCCCAGGCAACATGCACAGCTTTTCCGCGATGAACTATTGCTGTGGGCCAGCCCGAGGAGCTCACACAAAGCTGCTTTGGTGTGGCCCACAAAGTGGTGCCTGTCTGTTTGCAAAATACGAGTGCAACAAAGCAGCGGATTACGAACAGCAGCAAGAATGGGGAAAACCCCACAACACTGGGGCGTTTTCCTTCCAGACGCTCGACCCCCCGTTCACGTAGGTCACAATACTCGCCTGGGTCAGTTGGGCAGTGTCTCTTTGATAGCCGAATGCAGCCGTTTAGGACAGCTTTAGCGGCAGAGAGGGCTGGAGGGCTCTGGAAAATAGTAATGAACTACCAATTCCTTAATAGAATCTAGAATCCTAGGACACTAGAACTGGCAGGGACCTCCAGAGGTCATCCAGTCCAGTCCCCTGCCCTCACGGCAGCACCAAGCATCGTCTAGATCATCACACACTCAAAAGCATTGAGCAGAAGTCTGTGCTAATGGGTCTACGCTAATATTGCTCTTCCTCTTGCTTCTAGTGTGGCTGCAGAACGTTTTTATGGCGCTGTCTTTTTGTTTTGTGCCTTGACTCTGTGTTGTTTTTTATATTCATCCATCATAATATGATCTAGTTTCCACTTTTTCATAGAATCACAGAACTGGAAGGGACCTCGAGAGGTCATCGAGTCCAGTTCCCTGCCCTCATGGCAGGACCAAGCACCATCTAGACCATCCCTGACAGGTGTCTGTCCAACCTGCTCAAATATCTCCAGAGATGGAGATTATACAACTTCCCTAGGCAATTTATTCCAGTGTTTAACTACCCTGACATTAGGTTGGACACTTTCCTAATGTCCAACCTAAACCTCCCTTGCTGCAGTTTAAGCTCATTGCTTCTTGTCCTATCCGCAGAGGCCAAGGAGAACAATTTTTCTCCCTCCTCCTTTTCACATCCTTTTATATACTTGAAAACTGCTCTCGTGTCCTTTCTCAGTCTTCTCTTCTCTAAACTAAACAAGCCCAATTCTTTCAGTCTTTCCTCACAGCTCTTGTTTTCTAGACCTTTCATTGTTTTTGTTGCTCTTCTCTGGACTTTCTCCAATTTCTCCACATCTTTCTTGAAATGTGGTGCCCAGAACTGGACACAATATTCCAACTGATGCCTAATCAGTGCAGAGTAGAGCTAAAAATGACTTCTCGTGTCTTGCTTGCAACACTCCTGTTAATGCTTCCCAGAATCATGTTTGCTCTTTTTGCAACAGCATCACACTGTTGACTCATGTTTAACTTATGGTCCACTATGACCCCTAAATCCCTTTCAGCACTACTCCTTCCTAGACAGTCACTTCCCATTCTGTATGTGTGAAACTGATTGTTCCTTCCTACGCGGAGTACTTTGCATTTGTCCTTATTAACCTTCATCCTATTTACCTCAGACCATTTCCCCAGTTTGTGCAGATCGTTTTGAATTATGACCCTCTCCTCCTTGCACTTGCAACCCTCCCAGCTTGGTATCATCTGCAAACTTAATAAGCATCCCCTCCATGCTATCATCTAAATCGTTGATGAAGATATTGAACAGAACTGGTCCCAAAACAGCCCCCTATGGAACCCCACTTGTTATGCCCTTCCAGCAGGATTGTGAACCATTCATAACTGCTACATTCAGTTAATAACTTCATTTCGGTATAACTGGATTGAATGCAAGCCTGGTCCATCATGACCTAAAGCAAATTCCTTCTGGGTTTGGTCCTCTACTATGCACTTGTGGGAATCCCATGGATGACCACAAGATAACCAATGCTTTGCTGGACAGGGCGGGCAGAGGAGCCCAGTCCCGACAGCTGCCAAACGACTCTTGCCAGTAGCGGGAATGAGGCCAACAAGGGACGCGTGCAGCTAAGTGTCTCATTGGCATGGTGACCACACCCCCCTTCCCTGGCCTGTTTTCACCTTGCTCCTTTGAGATCAAGCGTGCAAGAGGTTTAGTATTTCTCATTGCAGAAGATGCTGCCAGATGCTTTCATCTTACTTGTATCTAAAAAACCAGCAAGCAAATGGTCTGGTAGCACTTTATAGAGGAACAAAACATGTCGATGGTGTCATGAGCTTTCGTGGGTACAACCCAATTCGTCACATGACTTTGCTACCCCCTGAAGCTCCTTACTTGTATCTGTGACTAGTCCCTGTTCACTGCAGCGTATCATAGAATCATAGAATACTAGGACTGGAAGGGACCTCGAGAGTCATCGAGTCCAGTCCCCTGCCCCCATGGCAGGACCAAATACTGTCTAGACCATCCCTGATAGACATTTATCTGACCTACTCTTAAATATCTCCAGAGATGGGGATTCCACAACCTCCCTGGGCAATTTATTCCAGTGTTTGACTACTCTGACAGTTAGGAATTTTTTCCTGATGTCCAACCTAAACCTCCCTTGCAGTTTAAGCCCATTGCTTCTTGTTCTATCCTCAGCGGCCAAGATGAACAAGTTTTCTCCCTCCTTCTTATGACACCCTTTTAGATACCTGAAAACGGTTATCATGTCCCCCCTCAATCTTCTCTTTTCCAAACTAAACAACCTCAGTTTTTTCAGCCTTCCTCATAGCTCATGATCTCTAGGCCTTTCATCATTCTTGTTGCTCTTCTCTGGACCCTCTCCAATTTCTCGACATTTTTCATGAAATGCGGTGCTCAGAACTGGACACAATACTCGAACTGAGGCCTAACCAGTGCAGAGTAGAGCGGAAGAATGACTTCTCCTGTCTTGCTTACAACACACCTGTTAATGCAGCCCAGAATCATGTTTGCTTTTTTTGCCACAGCATCACACTGCGGACTCATATTCAGCTTGTGGACTCATATTCAGCTTGTATCGGCTCTGCATAGCATGCGAGCATTGGCAGTTTGCTAGCTCATGTGGAAGGGACTGGAAAGTCTTACTGGGAAGGGGTCCACAACCACAACATATAGCCACCCTCACTCCTGGCACCAACTACCTGCAGTGTCCACAGACAGGCCAAGAATTAAAAGGACCAGGGAGAAGGTGCATGGTCCCTCCAGAACAGAGCTGAGGCAAAACTCGCACTGTCTCTGTGCCTGACTTGCAGAGACGCAGAGAGTCACTCAGCCTTAGACATCATCGCATTTCTTCAAGGCTGCTTTGAGACCCATCCCCAGACATTAGACCAGATTCACGCCTGCATAAAACAGCCTAGCACCACTGACTTCCGTAGAGCGACCCCACGTTCCACCGGATGAGGATCTGGCCTTTGAATGCTCACTGGTAGCCTGGTGCCTCTGTGCGTTGGGCGGGGGTCTCCTGCTGAGCCCATTCTTCCCTCTTTTGGGAGGAGAAGATTTACACCACACTTGAGAGGTAGCTGATGCCCCTGCTGCCACTAAACGGCCATTGACTGAAATGACAGACAGGTCATAAGGCCGCACAGAGCCATCGTGTTTAAGGCCAAAAGGCACCAACAGATCTGGTCTGAGCTCTTATGTATCACAGCCCATGAAATCCTGCCCGTCGACCCCTGTTTTCAGTCCAATACTTTGCGTGTGTTTTCCCAAAACTTCTCTCCCAGAAAAGCAGCCAGTCTCGATATGAAGGCATCAAGAAATGGAGAATCCACCATTCCCCTTGGGAGTTTCTTCCAGTGGTGAATCACCCTAACTTAAAAAAAGAACGGGGTTTAATCTCGAAATTGAATTTGTCTGACTTCAGCTACCAGCCGTTGGCTCTTGTTCTGCCTTTCTCCATTAGGTTAAGGAGGCCAAGTGGTTTCTCCTCATCAGGATACTTATACACCATAATCAAGTCAGCTCTTAATCTTCTATTTGATAAGCTAAACAGATCAAGCTCTTTATGTCTCTTTCTGCAAGGAATTTTCTCCAGCTCTTGAAGCATTTCTGAGACTTTTTTTCTGCATCCTCTGGACTTTAATGGTAGGCACCAGACCCAGGAGCAGCATTCTAATACCAGCCCCAGCAATGCCACGTACAGGTAAACATCCTCTTCCCTCCCCGACTTGCTATCCCTGTGCTCAGACTTCCAAAAAGCACATTAGCCCTTTTTGCCATAGAATTGCACAGGGAGAGGCTAGCGTTCAGTGGCTTTCCTGCTAGGACTCTTCAGTCCTTTTCAAGTCACTGCTTTCCAGGGTACAGTCCCCCGGTCTCCAGGACTGGCTTATCTTTCTCATTTCTAGATGCATACCTAAGCATTGGGCTGGACTGATACACATGCTGTTTGTGTGGGCCCAGAAGAGCCAGCGACCCGTATTGCTTTGTACGACTGCCTTCTCCTCATCGCTATTTACCATCGGACACTCTTTGTCGGCCACTGATCTCAAATCACTGCTGGTCAAATTTCTCCCATGATCACGGATGAAAACGACAAACGGTGTTGGGCCTTGCACCAAGCCCTGAGGAGCTGTACTAGAAATCCCCTTGTACAGGGACGATTAGCCACTAACGACTCCTTTTTGAGATCTGTCAGCTAGCCAGGTTTTATCATGTTAACGTGGGCTCTGTTGATACCGCATAGTGCTGCTGCTTTGTAGTCGGAATGTCATGTGGCACTAAGTCAAAACGCCTCACAAGCGTCTGTTACCTCTACCAACCAGACTTGTCATCTGCCAAAGAATGAAAGCAGGTCGGTTTGCCTATTTTCCATGAAACCATGTTGACTGCATTAGTTATGTTCCTCTTCTCTGGACTGAATCCAGATCAGCTTTCCCTTTCCTTTGCCCAGGAATGAGGAATTATCATCCCACTCCCCTTTTTGAGGGTTGGCACACTAGTCAGGAGGGGCACATGCAGACATAGCTACATTTCAGGGGGCAGGCTCTCAGCTCACATGGTTACAAAACGTAGCCTCGTCTCTTGGTGACAAACTCTACTGTGGCTCTCATATGTCCCTCGTAGAATCCCAGGGCTGGAAGAGACCTCAGGAGGTCATTGAGTCCAGCCCCTTGGCCAAAGCAGGACCAATCCCAACTAAATCAACCCAGTCAGGGCTTTGTCAAGCTGAAACTTAAAAACCTCTAGGGATGGAGATTCCACCCCCTCCCTATGGAACCCATCCCAGTGCTTCCCCACCCTCCCTCACGTCTCTCGGGGAAGGAAAGGCGGTGATGTACACAGCCCCACCCCCTGGCCATGTACGTCACCACCCCAATCCCCTCCCTAGGGAAATAGTTTTTCCTAATATCCAACCTAGACCTCCCCCACTGTAACTTGAGACCATTGCTCCTCGTTCTGCCATCCTCTGTGGAATCCCTCTTCAGGAAGTTGAAGGCTGCTCTCAAATCTCCCCCTCACTCTTCTCTTCTGCAGACTAAACAAACCCAAATCCCTCAGCCTCTCCTCATAGGTCATAGAATCATAGACCTGGAAGAGACCTCAGAAAGTCATCGAGTCCAGCCCCCTGCCAAAGCAGGTCCAACCCCAACTATATCAACCCAGCAGTCATGTCTCCAAGAACGGGGTAACTTGTTGGATTCACACAACTTGGGTCCCACATTTGACCTGTCTTACAACTCCCCAAAGCGGATGTGCTGGAGGAGAACATCTTCTGGATTCTCTCTGCCCACTGCTGTTAAAAATCCATAACCCTGCCGTTGTGGAAGGGGTGTTTCGGTGGGTGTTTTAAACATTGTTTAGGTAGAACTGGCGGAGGAGGGAGAAACAACAAATGTTACTATTCCCATGGCATAACGGGCAAGCCGGGCACACAATAGAGAAAGGAAATAAAATGTAACCATGCTAGTCTCAGATGCGCCAAAAAAGACAAAAGCATTAAGGAAATAAACCTTCCTCCGCATGGGTCTTTTGCACACTGCAAGGAACCGTAGCTCAGCCGCGAACACATTGGCTCGAATGTGTCTCGCTATAAACACAACCACAAGAAGGGGAGCCGTGGGCAAATCTGCCATCCATTTTCTTGGTTCTGCTGTAAACTGCACTCAACATACTAAGAGACACCAGCGATGACATGTCGTTATTGCCTCCATCAGGACTCATTTACATTCCCTTATGCACCGGGCTAAGGGCTGCGACGTGCAGTTTGCCCCTCGCCAAATTGAATTGAGTTCCGTGGCTGGAACTCGGGCTGAGCGGCACAGGGGGTGTGACGACAGCAACAGGGGCACTGTAGAGTGTGGACACAGAGTGTGTCTAGACTACAGGGTTTTTTTTTTTTTAAAAAAAAGGGGCCTTTTTTCGAAAAAATTTCCCCTGAGTCTAGACTTCGAAAGTAGATCGAAAGAATGCGGCAGTTTTTTCGATCGCGGAAAACTCCGTTTTACGAGGAAGAATGCCTTTTTTCAAACGTGCTCCTTCGAAAAAAGGTGCTTGGTAATGCAAACTGTGCTTTTTTGAAGGAGAGCGTCTAGACTCGCTTTCGAAAAAACAGCTCGCTTTTTCGAAAGTGCTGGTTGTAGTCTAGACGCTCTTTTTCCAAAGAGGCTTTTTTGAAAATATCTTTCGAAAAAGCCTCTTTCGAAAGAGGCTTGAAGTCTAGACGTAGCCAGAGGGGACATCCCTTCCGAAACAGGCAAAGCTCCAGCTGCACCGTCTTCACCACGGACAGCTGGGGCTTTGTACCATCCCTGCAGGGAACTCTGCTGCCTTTTCATCCCGCCACTTCTGCACCTGTTCTGTGGGCCGGGAAACGCTGCTGGTGCAAAGGGCAGCACCTACACCCCTCGCCACAGTAAGATTTGCCATCTCCCCTTGACGTGGGTGCCCCGGTGCCCTTTTTCTGGTCTCTCCCCAGCTGGGGTTCACTTGAGTGTCTCCCATTCTTCACAAGGGAGACCCAGAGGGCGGGCCAGACTCCTCCATACACCCCTACCCAGCCACACCAGCAACGAACGGCTGTGCGAGGCTTAGCACTCGGTCCGGGGCAGCATGCACAAGTGGGGAGCGGGAGAAGAATGGCTGATCCCCCCCCTCCCGCTTTCCCTCCTCTTCTGACACGTGCAATCCTATGGCGAGGCGAGAGGGGGGAAGCACGAGGCATACGCACAGCTCTCGATTTCTAGCGTGCAGTTCTGCTGGTCCAGAGGGTATCTCCTCAGATCCATCATGCAAGCGGCGGTGGTGGTGATTCTGGAAAGGAGAAAGAAATTGTTAAAGGAAGACAGGAAAGTCAGGCAGCATGAGGGGCTGCTGTTTCTATGGTAACCCGGGAGGGAGGTCTGCGAGGAGGGGAACTGAATGAAGCTCCCCCTCACTGCATGGCGCACATCTTCGTGACTCACGTCAGCCTGGCTGCATCTTTATTGGGGGGGGGGGCTGTGTTCCCTCTTTATGGAGAAAGGGAGACAAAGACACTGAGAGCAGCAGGGCTAGCGAAGGGAGGGAGGAAGAGAGACATTTCTGTTTGTGAGGGAGAGAGAGAGAGCAAGGACACCCAGGCCCCTACAAGAGAAAATGTGTGTTGATTAAATTGCTCTGCACTGGGGCACAAGGAAGAATAATTTACCTGATTAGCTCTCTCTTCAGCCCGCCAGCCTCTCCCAGTCACCATGACATTTTCCATTCCACACCCGCACACACACTTCCCTCACTGAATCTGACTCGCCCAATCCCCCCTTCTTCGAACCGCTC